ATTTGAAGCTAATTTTTTCATATTTTCAACCCCTAAGACCTAAAGTGCTTTAAAACCGTACCGATTTAAAAAAAAAATGGATAGTTGCCATGGATTATTTCAGCAAGTGGCCCAGAAGTTTTCACTATTCCACATCAAGAAGCATCTACAGTTGCATATGTCCTCGTCAATAATATTCGAGGAATCGAGTCCAAAGTAGTTGACAAGCATCAAGATGATTGGTATGAGCATGTACCCATGTACCTATCTCTATTTCTAATGGCATACAGATCAGCAGTAGATAACACAATAAGAATTACACCAGCCAAAGTTTTGTTCGGAAAGGAGCTAAATGAAGCTCCTTTCCGAACAAAACTTTGGCTGGTTACTGTTTGAAAAAATTGGCGAAACGAGAAACGATGGCCTCTGTTCCCCGCGACAGTCCTTGGGTTACTTCCGGCTCGGATAGGGTTATTTTATTTTTATTTCACGCGCCATCAACCTGTAGAATGGCGGAAATTTCGAATTTACTTAAATTCTAGTTTATCGATATAAATTCCTTTAACTTCTACGATTTGATAGCCCGAAAAAAGTATTAAATTGCGAGAAGCCCGTGCCACTTTCCACCCAGTGGCGTAAGTAAGGGCCCGCAGGGCCCGCAGTTGCGGGGGTGTTCCCTGAGATCTTGGGGGACCAGGAAAGTACTAAACTGGTGACAAGAGTAGTACTAAACTGAAAGAAAATAGGTACTTCAACCTAAGAACCTCATAATACATATCAACCATTGAAAAAGTATGTCTGGTCTAACCAATGAAAGAAATATCAGAGAGAAATGTTCAGACATACTCACAGATGCAAAATTAACTGTCCGTTTTAAGTGATACCTACAACTATTGCTATCTCCGAAACAGGAGCAGGTATGAGGTCGGGTAAATTAAATAAAAATGGCACATTTCAACATCCATTGGAGGTAAGTTCACAGGGTTGCCAATTTTTTATTTGTTCCCGAGATATAAAGCCTCTGAGGTATAATGTGAACGTGAACACAGCTAGACGCTGTGTGAAGATAACAAACGCCAGAGAAGAATTTTGGAACTTTTGCATTGAACACTTTTTTCTAAAGTTAATAGATTTTGAAATATTCATTAAATAAGTTTTAAATGTTTTTTACATTTCCCCTGTATCTCGGAAACGTACAAAGATTTGGCAACCCTGTGAACTTACCTTCAATGAATACTAAAATTTGCCACTTTTATCTAATTTAACCGACCTCATCCCTCTTACCGTTTCGGAGATAGCAATATGGTGGTATCACTTAAAACGGACACCCAGTATAAAGAAAAATTTGAAAATATATAAGATGGGCCCGCGAAAATCCCTGAGGGGGGGGGGGGATTTGAAGTAACGCCACTGTTTCCACCGAGGTGAAAACATCATATGAGCTACCCAATCACTTTAAAAAAAATATATATTTTTTTGAAAGCTCAAAATAACCGTTTTTGGGCATGGCACCCGGAAAAATTATCGCGCCTCCGGCAGCTCCTGCGTTGGGCATTTACCTTCTTAAATTAGTAATTTGAACCAATATAACAATCCACTCGCCGCCACTGCCCGTATGCACCTCCCTGAAACTAATCCTGGCGGCGCCCATGTATAAAATGTAGTATTTGGCCAATATTTCATTAATCAATATTGTAGTGAAGAATCTTGGACAAATATTCAAATCACCGAAAACTTAATTAATCTATGAAAACAATATTATTGGTACGAGATTATTTTTAAATATTGTTTCCACACAGTTAAAACCAACGTTGAGCCAATATTGCTACTGTGTTGATTTAGCAACGAAAATGAATAAATATTGGCCCAACTAAAAAACGTTGTTTACCCAATACCTATTATGTGCTAATTGGGATAGATAGGGAAAGGACAGAGTTCGCAAGTGATCGAATGAAAACCAGATAGGTATGACCTCAAGGCGAATTCTACAGATTTCCAGACGAATGACAAAGTTTGGCTCTATTACCCTCAAAGGGAGAAAGGAAGATCTCCCAGGCTAATAGCAGTATGGGAAGGCCCGTACACGATTATAAAGAGACTAAACGATGTGGTGTATCGAATCCAACGCGACCCAAGGTAAGATGAAGGCAATGATGAAGGTGGTGCATCTTGACAGGTTGAAGGCTTATCACGAGAATAAATGGTCAGATCGAGACGATCTGATTTAGGAGGGAGGTAGTGTTACAAAAATGCATTGACAATCCGGCGTCGGGACTCCAAAAATTAGGTAGGTATGACCCATTCAGAAGAAATACCCTGCATTAAGAGAGTATTAGGACGTCTATTAGGCGTCCATTTGACGTCGTTGAATTGGACTTATATATTTGGTCAGTGTGGATCGATTGAAAAGTTATATATCAACATATCTGATGCATAATAAGTATGCAGAAAGGTTTTTCATCACATTCTTGAAACAATCTGAAATTGGTGTTTTGTGCATTTCAGCAAGTAAAGATGGAAGGATTTGTTTATCTCAATACTCTATGACTAGGGTAATGTAAACAAGCTATTCCCACATAACAGTGAAAGAACATTCATATTCTCAGAATATTCCCTCAAAGTGCTTTTTGGAATGTTCTTTTAAGGAATGTTTAATGAATATTCTAAGATTGTTTCGAATGAAATATTCATTTTTGAACGTTCTATTCATATACTAGGAATGTTGCTTCTATGCATCTACCTGAAAGATTGTGCTAAGAACCTAGTTTATATACATATTCATTATTTGAATATTGTCATACGAACATTATTATAATGTACCCTAAAAAATGTTCTTTCGGTTAATATCTCTATCAAGTATTAAGAATATACCTACCAAGTTGTGCTGAGAAGTTTATGTAGAGGTAACCATGATAAGAATATTTTCATATTGTTCAACTAATTATCTAAAGTACCTACTCAAAAATCTCAATTGAACAATTAAACAATATTGCTCTATCTAGAATCTACTAAGAATATTATAGGTATATTCTTTTTCTTTTGCTTTGTAGGACTTCCAAGAGAGGGAGCCACGCGCTATTAAAGATCTACATCTTGCCTAGCGTTTGAATCACCTTGGAACCTGTTTCTCTCAGTTGGCGTGCTTACCGCGACGAGAGCATGACAAGCTGGAAACCGCGCGGAGCTTTGGTTAAACACTTGTGTTTTCCAGAGAAGTTTTCCAACAAGTATTTCACTGCCTTTAATATAAAAGGACTGAAAGGAGCATTATTTGGAAGCGAAAATTAACATTCCAAGTATATCCCTAGAATCAAACATAAATGGTATGTCTAGGATGCATATTGAGAATGATATATGTAGATATATTCTAAGAATATTTCAAGCATATTGGTATAATATTATTTTGAGAACATAACTATAATGTCATAGAAACATTCTTTGAATGTGAGAATATACATTTCATGCATATTTTTAAAATCAAACAGGAATATTCTTTTCAGGATGTACTGAGAATCTCATAGGTATATTCTAGGAATATCCTAATAGATTTCCCAGGATTGGGAATTGGGTTGCAAACAGTATTTCTACAATCTTTTCTCAGAACATTCTCAGGACATTCGCAATGGTTTTGGCGAACATTCTAGGCACATTCCTCCTAAAAAAAGAACATTCCCAATACATTCTAAGGATGCAATTTTGTTATGTGGGTTGTATCTTTCTTTTCTTATCTATTTTATATTCGTCATTCGGTAGTACACTATTGTGGAGGAATGAGCTATTAAAAAAATAATAATTACCTAAGCTATGATCCTAACTGCCCTTCAAATCAGAATTTTGGTAAGTTACCTACTTCTAGTTGAGCATGTTATTTGGTATTAGACTTTAAGCATTTGGCTGTAGATGTTTTCAATAACTTCCTCTTAACAATTGAAGTTGCGTTTCACTGATATCCAGGGCAACAAATCATGGTTTGATTATTTCTTTTTGGTACCTAATTGGTGTCCCCGGGGAAGCCGTACGCCATAATAGGTAAGGATCTCATTTGTTACACGATTATACTATTTAAGGTAAGTGTAGCAGTGGGGCACTACCGAATACCGGCGAGAAATGGCTGAAATATTATTTGCTGTTGGATGTCAGCTGCACAACGTGGTTTCAAGTGAATTCAGCCTAATGGGGCTTTAATAGAAATAATAGCTGAATGCTCTTCATCTTTGCCAGGCAAAATTGTTTTTGTGTTTTCTAGATGAAGAGTCAAGTGATCATGTTCTATAATTATTGTAGCTGGATTGAATTGGTCAAGCCTCTAAAGAGGAATAAAAAACCTTTCAAAGGAGGTATCGCACGAGGTATTTTCCCAATATACACTACAAGTGGCATGCAATGTGTTAAATCAGCTCAGAAAAAATAAAATCGATTTTGTGAAATTTCTGTTTTCTCCAGATATCTCCGGAAGTGGTCGAAATTTTCCAAATATCAAAGTACCATCAAATTGCGCAATTTTTTCCCAATCTAATTCACATTGTAACTCCACCCGTTCTCAAGATCCTAATGCTATCCCATCCTTATCTTGGATACACATTGCCAATTCTCTACATCTGGCTCCATCTCTAATTAATTTTTATATTGAACTTTGTAACTTCTTTTATTATTAGGTTTATTAAATAGAATGGGTATTTTTCCTGAAAGTTTGAAAATAAATATAAACAAACAAAACTTCATTTACACCAATCACTTTATTGAAATTTTATCACAATTATGATAACTGCATTTCGCTATTTTACTAGTGGATTGAGTAAAAAATAACAAGTACAAGAAACTAAATCACTTGAGCAACAAAAATAAACTAACTTGCAATAATATTATATCATCGTAAGAATTTTATTTAAAACGCACAGAAACAAAATATATATATATATATATATATATATATATATATATATATATATATATATATATATATATATATATATATATATATATATATATATATATGTATATATATTATTCATCCGATAATAATTTTAATTCTATTATAATAACGAACTAGAATAAGTTTTTTTTTTAGCCGATTTATCCATCTTTAGATTGACTTACTGGTAGCTGTTTACAAGATAAGTTTACCGGCGGATAAATAGAATTTTAGATTGCGTTTTTAGCAGTCAGATTGCAGTTTATCAGAAGGTGAATAAACCAGGCCTAAGTAAGTAGTAATTATTTCATACAGTATGTTTGACTAACCACCAAATCTATTTATAATAAAACTATTTTAAAATAAAACAATGCGATGATTTTCAAACAATCTGTATGTTTTTTTTTTAAGGAAACATACATGCCATCTTCCACTTTATCATAATATTTTTTCATCGAAAAGGTAATTCTACAGTTTTCAGCAAGATAATAACTTCAAAATATTATAATAAAGATTTGTTTAAAATCAAAGCATCTACAGACACATTAGATACAATTATTAATATTATTATCATTCTTTACATATAGATGGTTGAATCGAATTATTTTACACAATAAACATAAGGTTTCCTATGATTATCTATAAGTGATCTAGTGATACTAATTAGCAATTTTTGTACATGTTTTGTTTTGAATAATCTTATCTTGTTGATCCATTTCATTCATCGGCATTTTTTGACGTAGGTATTCAATCAAAACATATACAGTCTATTATGGTCCAACCACATAATGTGATTTTGAACATTAACATTATTAGCTTGTTAAATTTTGAAAGCGAACCTCTTTATCAAGACCAAATTGCATTTATGGAGGGAATTATATGAAAATTGCATTCAACAAAATAATATTGCACAAATTTTGGTTTAATAAATATAGAACTCATTTTTATGCTATCAATAAGGGGCAGTTTTGAATATTGTAGTATAAAGGGGAAAAAAATGACAACTACTTAGTTCCGCTAAACGATCATGTAAACGAACTAACATTGTTTATTAATATAATCAGATCATAAAATGATGAATAATGTAATTATAACTTGGTAGCATTTTGTAAGACAAAATCGCAGCATCAGCGAGTGTCTTCAAGTTAATATAAAGCAAGAAATACGAGTTCAAGAAGTCAAAACTAAAACATAACATAATAATATAGTCAGTAACAAGACACACAGATAGGCAAAAATACCATTCAAAATTCTATAAGCTTAGGTTATTGAACGTTGAATAGACCATAGATGTAATAGTCTTATAAAAAAACATTAATAGCAAATGTACCTACCATAGAAAAAGTTCCAATCCAAAAACGAGTACCTATGCCAAGGTGATATGATCTGATCAAAAATATTTACACTCATGTTTGAGAAAATGGACTTCCACATCACAACGGCATTACTAATATTCAATACCAACAGTTAAAATAATAATTAGGTAGTATGCATCTCGGTATATAATATATGGACAAAGGTAAGTTCTTTGAAAGTTGTGTCTTGTCATCAGTTCTCACCTGAGGACAAGAATACTTGACTCTGACAACAACAAAAAATCTGTCAATCGGAAAAGGGCTGCCCAAGGAGCTATGGAACCTATCCCTAAGAAACAAAGTCCTACATGTAAATATTAGAAGACAAACTCGAGTTATCGATGATAATTATGAGAACATTTTCCTTGGATGACAACATGAGAGGCTGTTTGCCCAGCCAAAAAATTTAATTTCTCTTTATCAACCACATCAAAACCATTTAAAAGCCTAATCAGATCCAATTAGACCCCACGTGTGGTGCGTTTCGGGACGACGTTTTATCGGTCATCCCAAAACCAACCCCAAATCTGCGACAGCACTTGCAATATGCAATGTAGAAAATCGTTAATTTTAAGAATGCGCACGACTATGATGCGAATTCCTTCTCTCGCTTGCATGCTTCAAGCCTTTTACCTTCAAGGTGGAAGCCGTTCAATGAACTGGAGCACATAAAAATAAATAGTGTTTTATTGGAGTGAAAGTCCAAGGCTAAATGAATTTTTGGATATTAATAAATTTTCAATAAACATATTATTATTTTGATAAACTTAACAGCAATAACAACAAAATGTAATTTCGTCAACCAGGGTACTGTTTCAATCAACTGCTTACTGGCCAATATTAATCGGTCACTGTTGACGTTGGGGCGAGTGTTACCTACTTTGACCGATAAAAACAATAAACACGTTCCTTACAGGGATTTTAGGCTAAGGAGGATTTTGCATCACAGCTTACTGGGCCACACTAAAACCTGCATTATTGCCACCGAGTCGCCTACTCACCGTTCGTATCTATAGCCAACGAAAAAGTGACTCGAGTCCAAATGGTCAAAGAAATGAAAACGGAAATTGAAACACTGCATTGATGAAGGCTATTTGTTGAAAAAAAGAAAATCTCTGGTTTTTCAATTATCATTGTGGATGCAAAATCTAAAATGCACCCAATTCTTATTGAATAAAAATTTTGTTTGGAAAATGTGACATTATAATCCAACAACTTGCCAACTTTAGCTGAACTGAGATTAAAATAGTCTTGCCGCAACCGAAAATATTATTTCTGTCGATTACATACATACATGCCACAACTTTGCCTTACAAAAATTCTTGAAGGAAAACAGTAGATATGTGTGTATGAATGTTTATAACTATTTATAATCTTGATATTTTCATAATTAAATTTAAAGTTTCAATTTAACATTACTAAAAATAAAATGAACATCTCCAGGACAACTCCTAACTAAATAATTAACATAATGATAAATTGACTAGGATTTCTATTTAGTTTAAAATATTAATAGCAAAAAGTTGATTTAAAGTCCACTATTTCTTTATTCATGGTGGGACGAAACATTTTGTTCAGCTTAACAATAGAATCACACAAGTAAGTAAGTAAGTTTATTAATCAAAAAATATTACACTTGTTAATTAAGCAATGTACAGGAAATATGACGCTTAAGTTTTCTTGAACTTGTATGCGCCTTAACTGTTAGTACATTTTTCATTCATCAAGTATTGCACTAATTTAATGAATTTTCTAATTTATTCATGCACTTCTATTGATGTATTGTCATTTATTTTCATCCTGCTCTAAGTAGCCAATTTAAAAGCTTAATTTAAAATCTAGTTTTAGTTAGTTTGAAAAATACGAGTTTATAAGTAATCTTGAAAAATTAAATTGCACGCACATAACATTGTCATTTAATGGCGTTTAAATTAGTTACGTACTTAATTTGCTAGACCTTTTGCAATAACAACTTAAAAAACATTATTAATTTGATAAATAGTGAGCATTAAATCAATAATAGATATTTTAACACCTCCATAAAACGTACCAGAATCTGATACATATTGTAAGTAGGTAAAGTAGGAACCTCTCTATTCAGGCTTCAATAAGTTATTGAATATTCTGAGAAAAAAAAAATCAAATATATAACATTCATACCTACAAGAATCAATTTTTCAAGAAATAAAATTTTTTTGCTACTTAATATTCTTACTAGGATTTTCTTTAGTAGATGCCCCAAGATAGGCGCACCCCAGCTTTAAATAACATTTTCTTTGCTTTTGCCCTATTTAATGTAAATAGTGCTATAGGTGTTTAACTTACTATGATACAATATATACATTTACGCTAATAAATAAGAATTACTTTTAAAATATAATACACTAAAAATCTCCATCACATGGTACAAACCATTACTCTTGTTTCTTATACCATTGAGCTTCGAAAAACTCCTTGATCAGCCAATTATAGATCTGCAATGAAAAAATAATGTATGTTAGAATTATAATTATTAATGATACTAGTTCGATATGAACACCATAATGAAACGCGTGTAAATAAAAATCACCTGCACTAAAAAAACAAATAAAAAATACAGGCAGAAAACAAGTAGTAGTAATATTTAACTGGCCATTGATAAAATCTTGCCCATAAAAAACATCCTGATGTATTTTTTTGATTGATGATTATTCATTATTGTTTTGATTGGATATCAGCCACCAATACATTTTTATAAATAGAGAGTAGGTATATGTTATTGAATTCCTACAGTGATTACAAATTAATATGCATTAAGTAAAAAACAAAGTATGTACCTGTTATCCTGGAGAAAGTGGGAAAAATTACTCAGAGCAATAATTGAAATTTTTACAAATAGCCCAAGAAATTTATGGGTTTTTCAAAAAATTTTGCGAGGGCAGGCTGATTTTTTCAGGGCTGATTGGAGACTGTGTCCTGAGTATTGAGCCAAAAAATCATACTCGAAAGCCTTGTGCGTTCGGCCCTATTGGCCTTTTTCTTATTTATTTTTTTTTTCGACAAAATGACAACAAAACTTGTAGATAATAACATTCTGGTCAACTTTGCCTCATGCCTTTTTTTGCTAGCTATTTTAGTTTAGGCGTTGCGGCCATTTTAGTTCTCCAGAATTCGCAAAAAAATTAAATAGCAAACCTGCAGATTATTGTAACTTTAAGAAAATTACTGGAAATGTACTCCATTACGTTTTCGGTTTCAGTCCAAGAATTGATACATTACATCACTAATCCGGTTAAATTATTTTTTCTCCAAACGTCAAAAAAACGCCACTTTGTTAATCTCTGTCAAGATGTCAGAAATTTAATTTCTATGCTGGTAGGCAAATCCAGCAGGTTAACACCTGTCGAGGTGGTAGAAATTTAATTTCTATGCTGCTTGGCAACCCCAGCGGCAGCAAAAGTACTTTTAGTGCCGCTCGTACTTTTACTGCCGCTTAACAATTCAGTTACCCCCGAGCTTACCCGATTTGTTTGGAGAAAAAATAGCGTGTTGCACACGGAGCAGAAGCACTTTTTTGTGCTTGCAAGCCTCACTACGTTCGGCTCGCAAACCTACTGCTTCAGCACAAAAAAGTAAAGCTTCTACTCCTAATACAACAATATACTATTCTCAGAGTGAAAGCATGAAATCAAAATGATGTTTTTTTTGACAAAACTGGGACCTGTTACCTGTTTGAAAAGTGACAAAATGTTTTTTTTTACAATCGGCCTAGAAAGTAAACTTTGTCGATTAGATTTGTGCTCGCAAAATAGACGTTTCCTGATGACCTCCACTTTGCCGCTTTAGAGCGTCAAACTAGGTACGTCAAAATCCTTCACTTTGTCACTCTAGAGTGGCAAAGTAGTAAAAGCGCTTGCTTTTACTACTGGTTTCTTTGAACCTGAACTATTTTTTATCAAATGTGATTGTAAAAAAAATCAAGTGTGCATTTGCCAATATCAACACTATCTTTCGATCGGCAAAGTACCACTTTGCGCTCTGAATTTCGCGAAACGTCACATTTTACCTGCAAAATGTGTCAAATCCTTAGAAACGCTATGCATGCCACAATGTCCACCAGGTCAAATAAAATTTTTCAAATGCCTAGAAGGCCGTACAAGCGAAAGAAAAAAGGTAAAATCGAGGGTAAAATAAAATATCATCAAGCAAAGTAATAGAGAATTTTATTAGGTATAATAATCTGCAGGTTTGCTATTTAATTTTTTTGAGAATTCTGAAGCACTAAAATGGCCACAGCGCCTAAAGTAAAATAGCTAGCAAAAAAGGTCATGAGGCAAAGTTGATCAGAATGTAATTATCTACAAGTTTTGTAAAGGTCATTTTGTCGAAAAAAAATAAATAAGAAAAATGCCAATAGGGCCGAACGCACAAGGCTTTTGAGTGTGATTTTTTGGCTCAATACTCAGGACACACTCCCCAATCAGCCCTGGAAAAATCAGCCTGCCCTCGCAAATTTTTTTGCGGCTCAGGTATAAATTTCTTGGGCTAAAAAAGTTATAGTACAGTAATCAGCAAGGTTAATCACTCGGTTAATCAGTAATTAAAGAATTTCAATGGTGAATCACTTGTACCTATTGATCCAATTTATAACAAAAATATTCAGTCACACTTGAAAGGGTTGTTAATGTCAAAGATAAAATAGAAATGCAAGAAAAAACACTGTGTTTATTCACATTACCAATACCAACATCCAAGAGTTAAATCATTGAAACTACATAGAATAAAGTAATACAATAGTATTGCACATGTTACTGCTTTTCCAACCATATTATGTCCCATATCCCCATAGAACGTCAAGCAAACAATAAATAATAGGTAAATAATAAAATTACAAGATAAACATGTAAAAATCAAAAGTTGTCCTGTTGATATTCTTCCAGGCCGTAAAACAAGGTAGTAGAGTGCTCTTTATAATATATTTTGACTTTTGTGGGCGCGTCGGAGTTACAAGCTGAAATTTTCACAGAATGAAGGTTTTATTATGTTAATTCAAAATCCCAAGGTAATACAAAAGCAGAAAGGGCAGTACCTATATTTAAAAATTGAGATTATTGCATGAACGTATAGAATATTAATTTATGACTGTTGTTATACACTTCGTAATGATAGATTAATCGATAGAGTGGGTCAAAATTAGTGGAAAATAATCTTGACATCAATTCCCAATGGCCATTTCAAGCAGAAGCAAAAATATAAAGAAAATTCTATTTTTGGCTCTGGAAAATTCTCAAAATCTTGATATGGTCATGAACACTTGCCCATATCTTAAATTCCCCATAAATCTATGCAAAATTGAGTTTGATAGCTCAAATAGTTTTTGAGCAATTGAGCCTCAAATTTGACTTTTAGTCCAAATTTTGTCAAAAACTTCAAACTCAATTTGCACAAAAACTATAAATCTGGAAATATTGTAAATTACAGGCCATTTAGAACTTGATAAAAGCTACAAATTCTGGAAATTTTAATGCAATTTGCTCAACCGTTACCGAGCAATTGAGGTTTGAATATTTTGAAATCAGAATTCAAAGTTAGTACCCTTATAAAAACCTCGATTTTTTCATTTTTCAGTTTTGCTCAATTTTGACTTTATTAATCGATAAAGCGGGTCAAAATTAGTGGAAAACAACCCTCACATAAATTCTAAATGGCCATTTTAAGCAGAATCAAAAATAAAAAGAAAATCCTATTTTTGGCTCTGGAGAATTTCAAAATATTGACATCGTCATGAACAATTGCCCATATCTTTAGTAAATTTTGAGCAAATTGGATTAAATCATATACCATTGGAAATAGCATTAGATTCTCTATAAATCAGTGCAAAATTGAGTTTCATAGCGCAAATAGTTTTACAGCAATTATTGAGCCTCAAAATTGACTTTCAGTCCAAATTCTGTCAAAAACTTCAAATTCAATTTGCTCTAAAACTATAAATCTGGGAATATTGTTACTTACAGGCCATTTAGAGCTTAATAAGAGCGACATATAATGAAAATTCTAATGCAATTTGCTCAACGGTTATTGAGCAATTGAGGTTTGATTGGTTTGAATATTTTGAAATCAGAATCCAAACGTAAATAATACGTGAAAGGGTTTATTGTATTTTACAATTGGCGTGAGAGAGAGGGAGCTAGGAAGAAAAGTGAGATGGAAGAGTACTGGTGCAGCGCGAGAACGGGCTGTCCCGGCTAGAAGAAAATTACTTTTTTATGTTTAATTCTAGATTTGTGTTAAAATTCAAGACAAAAAAATTATTCTTGCTCATATATAATCTAGATACATGGCGCAAACTTTTTGCAAGACTAAAAATTTTTGGTTTGAGCCTTTATTTCAGAGATAATGCGAGGTGAATGCAAAAATTTGTATATTTAATCAGATTTTGCTGAGGTTTGAACGGAGATATTTTTATTTTTAGATTTATTTTACCGCAAGGGCCAATGTATTCGGCTTATTTGAAGCAATAATAAAAAATATAATTTCAACAAAAATATAGATAAATTTTATATGAGAACAGTCATAAATTACTATTCTATACATTTATGTAATAATCTCAATTTTTAATTATAGTGCCCTTTTGCCCGTTCTGATTTTGTATTACCTTGGGATTTTGAATTAACATAATAAAACCTTCATTCTGTGCAAGTTTCAGCTTGTAACCCCGACGCGCCTACAAAACTCATTTTTAGAAGGCTTTAACTGCGTTGGGCACTCTACTAAGGGGCTACCCCACAGTTCTTCCAAGCTGTGTATAGGGTTAGGTAGAGATCTGCAAGAGGCTCAAATTCCTCAAGAGGGCAACACTGTCACCAGAAGAAGTGGGCCAACTGACACCCAGGAAAATAGCTTCCTTCGGCAGAAGTCTACGCTTCCTGGAGACAAATTAAGATGTAGAGTCACGCACAAAATATCTGCAAACGTAGCAGTGCTGAGCGGCTGAAAAGCCGAAACGACTCCCCCGAAATCTACAATCTACAATCTAGGTAGAGATCTACAACCCGATCTTTCAAAATCAGAAAGCTATGCCTTCCTGCTTGAAGCAGTCGATTGTGGTCCCCTTGCATAGGTATTGCGTCCAAGATTCATTCAATTTTTGTCCTACATCAATACTTTTCACCATCTCGGAGGTGGCTGGAAATTCACTTACCTAATGATAATCTGGTAAGTGTAGGTATTTTATAATGTGATTTTTTTTCACTGGATCTGATGCAATGTATTTTTTTAATAACGATCAGCCGAATCCGAGAACGGGTCAGATAAGAAATTCGTTTAGTTATAATGCCAAGAGAATGTTCAATAATCTTCCTGTTGATATAGAAAATAATCAAAATTTTCCTAAATATAGGATTACTAAGGGATTGCTTATGCGGAATGCTCTTTATGCGGTTACCGAGTTCTTGGTTGAGTTAGAGTTAGTATAGATATATTACATCTAAATGTT